CCAGGCGTGGTGACAGCCAGAAAAGGAATACATTTCTGGCTGTCTGGCAATACAGAAAAGGTATTCCCAAATCAGGAATACATGTCCAAAGATGGATAATTAGCAACTGAAAGAACATATACTCTTGGGATGGCTTCGAACATCATCATCTAAAGCTACACTAAAGGATGCATTAATTACCTTAAGGGTATTTTCAAACGGTGAAATGAATGTCTTCAAGATCTGTAGTTGATAGAAAGATGGAAGAGGTACGAGCTTTAACAGGGTCCAATGATCTAAAGATCAACTCCTTCAGGTGAGTCTTCTAGGTCTGAACTCTCAGTTCTGCATTCTCCCTTCCACCCCCACCCTCTAACTCCCCAGGAAGAGTTTATCTGATGGGACAAAAAGTCTGCAAGTTGTTGTAATTGCCTAGGAGTGAAAATTTTCAAGCCAGGTGTTTGTGGGAGGAACTAAAACCATTGTTCTTAAGTCCGGCTGCCCATTAGCACCCTCCAGGGAACTTTTAAAAATCTTAGATCTCACCCTCCCTCACCCCAGTTCCCTTTTCATTGATCTGGGGTATGCCCTGGGCGCTGGGCATTTAAAATATCCCCATATGATTTTAATGTACAGCCAAAGTTAAGAACCACTGGCTTAAAAAGACAGAGTGGGCAGCTTTCTGGACAGGTTGGGGCAGTGCGTTGTGCTACTGCTAATGTTTATGCAGGTGGCAGTGTCATTCAGACTTGCTCTCCATTTAACATAGCTCAGATAGCAAGGCCTGCCTCTAACCATTAGACACCACTGCTATTTATGAAAAAGAACTTGGCAATTGTAAATGACCACAGATGGGAAGGAAAAGGGAGGGGCCTACTCTAACCTAGTGGTTCTCTAAGATGTATCAGAATCAACTGGAGAGCCTGTCAAAACACAGATTTCTGGGTCCCACCCCAGAGATTCAGCTGATTCAGGGCAGAGCATATATTTGCATTTCTCTCAGTTGATGCTGTGAAGTTGGTATGCATTTATACCTTGAGGGGCATCACTCTCATTGCTAACGAATAGTGTGTGCTAAGACCAAAGGGCAAAAGAGCTTGGCTCATCCTGGGAAGTATTTAGTGACACTAGTGTTAACATGACTGACAGATTTAGATAGAAGCTAAATCATGAAATGCCTTAAAAATATGCTGAGTTTGGGTTTTACCCTGGGTGCAGTGAGAAGCCACAGTATACAGATAGGTAGGGGTCCCTGGATGGTGGGATGGCAAAGGCAGATCTCATCTGTCGACTCCTGGGGAATCCGGGGAGGTGGTAGGTGATGGTGACTGCACCACAGCTCTGGACACCAGGGGAGAAGCGGGAGAAGGGTTGAGAACAAGGATGGAGAACACTTTTGTGCTTACCCTAAGGCAAGGCCATCCCTAGAGCAGTTGTAGTTTAAAGTCCTGTGATGTCTGTGATAATGTTATGTGTCAACATTGAGGGTATTTTCGGATGAGACTAACATTTAAATCAGCAGATTCTGAGTTAGTAGATTGCCTTCCATAATGTGGATGGGCCTCATCCAGTCAGTTGATGTCCTGGATAGAACAAAAAGACTGACTCCGTGAGTAAGGGAATTCTCTAGCAGACAGCTTTGGACTTCGTCTGCACCACTGACTCTCCTGGGCTGAGAGTCTGCCAGCCCACACTGTAGATTTTGGACCTGCCAGCTTCTATAATTGCATGATCCAGTTCCATACAACAAATCAATCTCTCTCTC